TAAAATGTTTAATACTTGAAAGATATTATTTTTAATTTTTCTATTTTGAAAATAAGTAGGTGTTGCATAAACAAATTTGCCTATAACTATTGAATCCTATTTTAGATTAATATGGATTTTGGTCATTTATTCCCTAAAAAAGACCAATGCCTTATCCAAAAATTTGACATTTTTAAAGAAAAGTTAAAATTATATTTAAAAAATAGAGAAGTCAATTTGAATTTGAATGAACAAAACTTGGTTAAGAAAATTTTAACACCTGACATATTGGGCAAGTTTTTATTATATAATATCCGTATAATACTAACAATCATTATAAAATAATATTAACTTATATAATAAATAATTATCATTATTTTAGGAGATGATGATTTAGCTGTAATTCAAATATTGCCTTACCTATTCAAGCCAGTAAATATTAAAGTCCCCAAAAAGACAACAACTGATGAAAATGTTTCTAAATACTTAATGAGGAAACCATCAAAACTGGAACAAGCTAGTGCTGTCATAGTCAACATTACTGTAAGTTTAAAATAATGCATTCATTTATTTTATATTTTGGTCTGGAAAAGTTTAAGGGCAAGTTGTTTGACCACAGAAAAGATTAGGTACCTATATGGCTATATTATATAATATATACTACCTATATACATTTAGATTTGGTCTATTTTTTTTTTAAATGTATCTTTAATGGTTTTTTTATAATATCAACTAGCTTACACACAATAATAGTGTCACCAGATACGTATTACAATAAAATCACCTATATTTCTATTTAGTATATAAATATGTGTAAGGTATTGTGTAATGTATATTATAAGTAGGTACTAATATGCCTTATTATGCGTAGGTACCTACATCTATACCAAGTGTCCATCATATTTTGTAGTACCTACATATTATTTAAATCAAATTATAAAAAATTAATTTGTAAATTCTAAATAAATTATTGTAGCATAGAATTCTGTAATTAAGGTACCTAACTTTAATCTATAATTGTTTATTACACATAGAATGTGAATGATCTCAAGACAACTCATGAACATAAAATCAACAGAGCATTCAATTCTGGTCTAACGGTTCAACCATACGTTGCCATTGTGGGGAATCAAGAATTAAATTCAAATAATACAATTGACTACTATACAGTAATAAATGATATTTATTATAAATTTGAAACCCCCGTTAAAGCCTTAGACATATGTTTCAAATCGTTTCATGCATTAAATTTGCAATATCCCCAAGAAGCTGAACAAGTTTGGTGGTTTATTCAAGATTATTTTTTTAAAATAATAGATAAATCAAAAAAAAAGTTTATAGGCGTACAGTGTTTAATAAAAGATTTAGAATCACTATAGTTAATTACTAATAGTTAGTACCTATGTAATAACTTATTACCTATCTAAATTTAAAAAATGTCTTTTGTAATATATTAATATCTGTAAAATAGATAAGTATAAAGTAATATCTAACATTTAAAAATAATTTATATTATATCAACCATTAATATTTATTTATAAATAGTTACTGTTAAAGTATTGTACTTGTAATACTTATTTACCTAGGTAATTAGATTTTAGTTTAAGTAACTATTGACTACCTATTGTTTTTGTTAACCTTTGATTACATTATTTTTATTAAATGTACCTTATACCTAGATAACTAAGTTTGTTTAAAAAGTTAAAAAATATTTTGTATTGTAGGTAATTAAACTTTTCAAAATGGTTAATTGCTTTTTATATAATTACGAGGCACAATGCATAAGTCATTTGTTTATACATTTTAATTTGTACCACAATTTAAAATCTATCGAAACATTTAATTGTCCAGTACAGGATTGTCTTAGAATATTTAATAATATCGATACTTATAAAAGACACCTTAAACAGCATGATTTTGATTCTAAATCAAAAACAACTATTAATTCTCAACTAACGCTAAATGATAATACAACAAAGGTACCCATGTTCTTTGAAGACACAACAAATATAAATGTAAATATCTTAGATGATATTAAACAAAATGATAATATCCCTCCATTTGATGATTTTAAAAAATTACGATTAAATGCTTTAAGTATGATTTGTAAATGGTATAGCGATACAGTTATTCCCAGAAATAAAATTGATATTTTAATTAATGATGTCCAAGATTTTATTGACTCAATTTTGTCGATTTTTAGGTTTAAAATTAATAAATGTATTAATAAATGTAGTGATACTATTGTTAAAGATGAATTATCGGTAGTGCTTAAAGAGATGAAAGTATTATCAGATCCCTTCGTTAATATGAAATCGGAGTACATGCGATTTGAAACACTAGATGAACTTGGTGTATTAATTCGTCCAAGAGAAATAGCTATTGGGCATAGACTAGGTGACAAATTAATTGATGGTAGGGTTGTAGTAGATCCCGTGGAAGTTAAAATATGTTTGATTCCACTTAGAGATATTTTTAAAAAAGTCCTAGAGCACTCAAATTTATTAGAGGTCATTCTAAGTTATATAGAAAATATGGAATCGTGCAATAAATTTGTTTACAACTTTATGCAGTCCCAACAATGGCGAGAAAAATGTAAAAATATTCCAAACAAAATTATTTTCCCGTTATTTTTATATTTTGATGATTTTGAGGTTAATAACCCACTAGGTTCTCATGCTGGTAACCAAAAGTTAGGTGCAATATATGTGTCTTTAGCTTGTTTGCCTCCTGAATTATCGTCATCGTTAGATAATATTTTTTTAGCGTCACTATTTAAAACAGATGACAAAAAAT